TAATATATAATATATATATATATATATATATATATATATATATATATATGTATATATATATATATTATTTATCCAATGAAAAAAAAAACAAAAAATTGTGTAGAGATATAATGTAAAAAGTTTATAAAGTATTCATAATAGTATGATTTTATTCAGAAAAAAAAAAAAATCCGCTGTTTACCTTTATTCGGTTCTTGATTCTTTTCTTTCCTCGAAAGATTTTCTTTGGATCTCATCTTTTTTTTTTAACTCGGATCCCGATAAATAAAACATCTACGGGCGAAGCGTAATTTCTACTTACGAACCGTGATGAGAGGAAACTTTTTATCTTTTTTATCTTTCATTGTTACATTTTATAGATTGATCTCCTATTTTCGAGAATTTGTGATTGCGATTCGTCAATTTGGTTTGTCAATTTAAAGATCGATGTATCGCATAATAATAGAGACATATCGCGTTCCAGGTTTAGAGCGTTGCTCAATAGATCGTTTTTCAATGGCTCGATGTTCCTCTTCTTCGTTAGCCAATACACCACCACCACTTCCTTGGGAAACCGGACATGTCCTACATAACGATGCTACGCCAACGTGAGGTGGTACATTTTTCATTTACATGCGTGATATTTTGCGAAAAATAAAGTCGTGTAGTATAGTTGATGATAAATCTAACGATCGACGCGAATATATTTATTCGTTGCTATTCGATAATTTTTTTATCAACGCATAAATATATACGTATCCATCCCATCGTCTATACATTATATAAAGATAAATATTTTCTTATATCCGATTTTTCATTTCTTTAGGTGTTAAAATTATCATTATCGACGAAATATTACGTCCCATTTATTTGATGAACTAGATTAATAATTATTAATAATTATTTGATGGTTTCAGTTAGGGATGCCGTCACGCAAACGGAGGACATTGAATCTCCAACGCATGCCAGTTAGTATAGCGTGGCGGCAGAACAACATTCCATGACTGGCAATCTTGGAACAGAGCGATCATCGCATCCTCGATCTTTTCCAAATAATTCGTCTTTGTCGATAATAGAATATTCTTTGTACGAAGAAAGTACACAAATTCGACGCGATCGCCGATTCTATCTGGAAAATACGTGTTTCAAGAGCGTGCCAGATTTAATCCGAGATCTCGAATTTAATTGATGTAATAATCTCAAATGTTGCCAAAGAAAACATATTGCGCTGTTGTAATTTGCGATCAAGAATCAAATTCGTGAATGAACATTACGATTTCTTATCTACTAATCAAAAGTTTAAAACTAATCAAAGATACTTTTTATTATAGACGAAGCACATTCAACGGAAAGAAACGGAAAAAATATTATCTTGAAAATTAAGCATAATTTTTCACTAATTTGAATTAGAATATAAACTTATGGCGTTCAAATATAAAATATAATAATAAATTTAAGAGAAAGTATACATAGTAGGTACCATGTAAAATTGTTTTACATCATTTTTTTTCTTTTTTATCTTTCTTTTCGTGATTTCGAAGGTAATGGGAAAAGGAAAGATAAAGAATAACGATATATATCGCTATATGTCGCTAATTTACGTAATATTTTTAATTATCGAATTCATTGAAATGCGTTCATTGTCTTATAATATCTTGCCAATACACGTTTATAATAACCGCACAAATTATACGTATAAAATAACATTTAAGAAATTGCAATTGCAAATTGCAAATTGTAGATGTTAAATAGATGTTATCTTTATCGTGTTATATTGCTTCCCTTCGAACAGAATGACTGTTACAATGATAACGCGATGAAGGAATTGTTTTAAGAAGTATTATTAGAGTTGGATCATCACAATCATCATAAATCATTTGATCATTATCATCACAAATCAAATTGATTAATTATCGATTTGTCTTAAAATTTCATTTATATTTAATATCAAATATTTAATATTAATAACATATTTCGTTAACATTACACTTTTTTTATCTTTTTATAGTATTTATTAACAAAAGAGCTCGTTTTTACTTACATACACACATAGATGCGCGCACGCGTGCACAACACATTGAACAAGCTGACCGATAAACTAGGTAAAAGTTTATAAAAATTAGAAAAATCATTTATTTTTCCAATCAAATATGTTATTCATTCTCGCGTTATATGTTTGGATAAAATTATATATGCAAAACGCGATTATGAATGCAACAAAGATTTCATTTTTTAATAACGTGAAAATTAATTATTGTGAAAAATAAAATATTAGTAACTTTGGTATAATATAATATAAAGGGATAGTTAATATATATAACATAAAATTATATATACATTAGTTACATCTCTATTTACACACATTTATATACGTGTACACGCGTATATATTCGTTAATTTATAGTAAAATTGAAGGATATTTAATAAAAGAAAACGTTCGAGAAACTGTAAAATATATAATATTTAGCATTTTTAAAAAAAAAATATTGTGCTTTCCAATGATCATTATATTATTTATATACAATTACATTGCAATAATAAATTTATTTATTGAATATTGTACTTATAATAGTAGATTATTATTATTACGTATCATGTTGTATGGTTGAAATAAAAAAAAGGAAAAAAAAAGAAAAAAAAGGAAAAAATCGATCCAGAGATTACAAATCGAAATTTTTGAACTTTAGATATTTTTCATTGATTTTTAACATTTCGGAAAAGCCAATATTAGATAATGAATCATTGTCTATGAACACGATGCAACAGTTTATCGAATATGTTGAAATATACATATATTTTCTACTATGTAAAATGCTGTGAATATAGGTTATTTTTTATATACAATTATGAATATAATAAAAAGAGAAGAAATAAATTAATAATGTTAAAACTTTTAATACGTTTAAAATAATTTTCAATTGTCGTTTAAAATAAATTAACAAACATCATTTATGAGTCGATTTATACAAAATCGTTAAAATGTGGTGTTGTAAGTACATTTTCGATATTACGAATATACGTTATGTCTTTTCTGATCTTTCTAAATTTAAAAAATTATTAATTCAATAATTAAAAAGTAATCGTAATGTTTTAAATGTAACACATTTATTCTTCTTGTTATTCTTCTTTTCAATTATGATCCAGTTATTTATACAAAGAAATTAAATCTCACGTAACGCAAAATAGTAAAACGTGTATAATACTTTGATCATTTGTAAATAGATCGTGGTTTCAAAAGGCATAAAAGTAGAGAAAATTAAAAATGGAAAAAAGATTTGAAAATTTGAATTAAAAATTGCAAATACGAATACTTTAGGATTGTTATAAAATCGTATAAAATAAATGATTCAGGGACTGTTATAGTTATATAAGTTTGAAAAATTGTTATTCATATGATGTTTCTTCATATGAAAAATTCTAAATATAAATAACCGTATAAACGTAATAACATAATTTCCGTGTACGTCAATATTATGCATATATTGCATTCAACAATGTTATTTATAACATAACGCATATAACATAAATATAATTTATAATAATGGAAAAAAAAATTAAAATTAAAAGAAACGATCAAACAATTGATAATAAAATGATTTGATTTACATATGCATCATAATTAAAAAAAAAAAGAAGAAAAGTTGATGTAAGAATATATAGTTGGAATATAGTTTCGTAATACATATTGATATAATCCGAATAATATACAACGTGTATATGGATATCCAATATATTCACTCTATGTATACTTGGATACTTTGGATAACGTTGAATCAGTTTTGTTTAATTTAAAGCGTTAAAATATCATATTATCATTATTTTAATCTTTTTCAATGTGAGAAAAACAGGATATTCTTCAAAAATAAAAAAATAAAAAAAAATTATCGTTTTCATTGTCTCGAAATGTAGAAAGAACTAGAAATTTAGAAAGAATTTTTTATATCTCTCTTGATTTTTAATATACGAAATGTTTTCAATTTATTTTCGTTATATTAAAAAATTAATCAATATATCGGTTTTGAATATATTAATTTTTTTGCAAATTTAATATAAAATATTTCGTGTATTTATAGAAATAATTATAAATATAGGTAGAGTTTAAAAATGGTGCATGTAATAAAATAGTGGAAATATATTATAATCTTATCTATTATATATTGTATAATTATACGATTTTAATTAAAACGATTACGCGTTATGCTAATTGTTGTGCTAATGTTATGCTAATCGCATAAACTTTAGCTACATTTTTTTCAATTTTTAAATTATTTACAATTATGTTATATTAAGTTATAAGTATATATTTATACACGTATAATATATTATATTAACGTAATGTACATATGTATACGGTTTTTATTAAATATAATGCTGGAATACATTATGATGATAGATACGAACGTTGTAAATTGTACGATGTGAAATCAACAAATTTTCGTAAAAATTTTGCTGAATTTTACTTTTTAAATAATATTTTTCATATACATACACATATATTGTTAAATATAACTATATAACTTATTGTAAATAATAATTTTGTAAATACTTTAGTTCGATATTCAACGATGTTTTATTATTTGTCGTTTTATTATTTTTTTCTTAATTCTGCTATTACAATATTTATATCTATGCGATGATTTAATTTCCACTTTATTCGTTAAATGATTATTGTATAATAAGTATAAAAAAATGTAATAATTAATTATGTTTAATCGCAAATATTATAATTTTCTCATGGAACAAAATAAAAAATTAAGTTTACATTGTAAGAAAAAGAAGAAAGAAATGAAGAAAAAGAAAAAAGAGAAGAAGAAGAAGAAAAAGAAGAAAAAGAAGAAAAAGAAGAAGAAGAAGAAGAAGAAGAAGAGAAAAAGGAAGAAAAAACATATGATCTATATTAATCTTTTACAATATTAGAATATATATTAGTAAAACTAAGATCGAATTGTTGAGAGTCGATAAGAGCGAAACACTGCCTGTTGGCTCACCAACAACAACGTGAAAGCTCCTTCATAACGAGATGAAACGAAACATTTATCATTGCCTCGAAAACACGGATAACTACTCCCTATTGAATAGGGCACAAATCATTTTTGTATCGAATAAGACAACGCGTATCAATTTTAGATACTTGGGATACTTATATAATTAGAAAAATTAGAAGTAAAATATTAAACGAAGAATTTAGATGAAACACATAAATAATCAAAGTAAAAATAATTATGAATTTTATTCTTTATTTTATATTAAAATAATTGTTTCAATTGGAATATTTTTTCTGTATCGATATAACGAAAAATATACATATATAAAATAAATAAATGTAATTAATTTACCAAGTTTTTAAAGAATTTTTGTATAAATACATTGTACATTAATTAAAATTTTGATTAGAAAAATTTTTCGATTTACTTCAGATTATTTACGTTTCGTTATTCACAACTAACTTCAACTTTTTATAAAAATTAAATATTCTTATCTTCTATATCCATTAGAAATATTGTGAAGTTAATTATAGAACTTTACAATATCCATTACAATGGAGAATTAATTTGGAGAAATCCATTAATTTGGAGAAATTGTATGTATGTATGTGTGTGTGTGTATATATATATATATATACACACACACACACACACACATACACACAATTCTACGTAAAATAATTATTTTTGTTTAATCGCAAATATTATAATTTTCTCATGGAACAAAATAAAAAATTAAGTTTACATTGTAAGAAAAAGAAGAAAGAAATGAAGAAAAAGAAAAAAAGAAGAAGAAGAAGAAGAAAAAGAAGAAAAAGAAGAAAAAGAAGAAGAAGAAGAAGAAGAAGAAGAGAAAAAGGAAGAAAAAACATATGATCTATATTAATCTTTTACAATATTAGAATATATATTAGTAAAACTAAGATCGAATTGTTGAGAGTCGATAAGAGCGAAACACTGCCTGTTGGCTCACCAACAACAACGTGAAAGCTCCTTCATAACGAGATGAAACGAAACATTTATCATTGCCTCGAAAACACGGATAACTACTCCCTATTGAATAGGGCACAAATCATTTTTGTATCGAATAAGACAACGCGTATCAATTTTAGATACTTGGGATACTTATATAATTAGAAAAATTAGAAGTAAAATATTAAACGAAGAATTTAGATGAAACACATAAATAATCAAAGTAAAAATAATTATGAATTTTATTCTTTATTTTATATTAAAATAATTGTTTCAATTGGAATATTTTTTCTGTATCGATATAACGAAAAATATACATATATAAAATAAATAAATGTAATTAATTTACCAAGTTTTTAAAGAATTTTTGTATAAATACATTGTACATTAATTAAAATTTTGATTAGAAAAATTTTTCGATTTACTTCAGATTATTTACGTTTCGTTATTCACAACTAACTTCAACTTTTTATAAAAATTAAATATTCTTATCTTCTATATCCATTAGAAATATTGTGAAGTTAATTATAGAACTTTACAATATCCATTACAATGGAGAATTAATTTGGAGAAATCCATTAATTTGGAGAAATTGTATGTATGTATGTGTGTGTGTGTATATATATATATATATACACACACACACACACACACATACACACAATTCTCGTAAATAATATTTTTGTTCGTTATTTAAAATATAATATATAATATAAATATACAAAGTATATAATGGTGTTAGATAAAATTAGTGATGTTGTATCCTATAAGTATATTCTATTTCTTATAGTAAGAATAAAAAATGTACGAAGTGAAAAAAATATGATTGCAAATTTTCTTCGTTATTCAATTACAATTCTTATACTTTTTATTATAATATGTTGCTCGCCCCCCCCCCGTTTCCCTCTTTCCCCTCCCCTCCTTTATTAAAAGTCATCGTTCATTTATTATAACGATATAGAATAACATGTGAACCACGTTTTTTTCTAAATAATTGAAAGAATCGCGTGATTATAAATGTAGAATGTTCTTAATGTTCAATGTTAAAAAAAAAACTTTATTACACGATATTTATTATCCGATATTTAACTTTTAAATTTTTAATTGATATAACGTGATGATGAGAGGAGGCTTCTCTTTACATTTTGTACAATATATCATTTATTTACAAGAATAAGTTTATACAATTTACAAAACGATTTATACAATATAATAGATGGATAGATTTGTTTTTACATCGGCACGTGTTCACAGCGGCAACGAACGTCAGGAACGATTGACAGCTATTCCCGTTTAATCGATGTCCCCGGATATACGATTTTTCTTGAAAATTTTCTAGCATATCGAATAGGCTTTGAAATTTCTTATTCTTACCGGCTGTCAAATAGTTTCGACAATTTCTACGCTGTGTTTTTGTTATTTTCAAGTAATAACATTATAATTTATTATTATTTTGTTATTAAATTATTGTAACTTAACTGATATAAAATTATCAAATTGTTAAATAAATCAATTAATCGACATTATTGTACGTAACGATATACATTACTATTGACCCAAATTCTACAAATTTATATATTATTTTGCCATATTTTGTTCTTTGTAAGAAGCGAAAGAAAATATTTGACAATGGCATTTTGTATGATAAATATATAAAAAAATTTGTGTAAATTTCTTTTTTCTCGGAATGTTATTTTAATCCATGTTTTACGTATTATATATACATACTTTTTTTCTATAAGAATATTTGAAAACATTATCGTATGGATAATTGTAGAATAACTATCTATAAATACGCAAATACGCATGACAAGTTCGATAAAAATATTTAATAATTTATTTTTAATGATAACAAGTATAAAGATAAATGTATACTTCACGACTGTATTATTCTTAATTAAACGTAATAACGATCGATAATAATATAATTGAAAATTTGCTTAAATTGCATTGAAAAGATTAGACCCTGAGACCCTGGTCTTAAAATATAGGTATCGTTATACAAAGAGAAGATTTCGTCACTTATAATAATAAATGGCATTTTTTTATTACGTTTACGTGTCAAATAAAGTTTTATCATCTGAAATTATCCGATTTAAATGCAACAATAGATTTTTAATTTAATTTTCGGCGATGACAAAAATTCCATTTAATTCGGAATCGGATAATAGTTTGGATTCGCTAGTAAAAGAACGAAAAAGTTTTTCTACAGTTCAAAATATAATTTTCTATATTCGTATATATTTTTTACGATTACATTTCGCTGATTAGGGAACTTTTGATCGATTTCGATGAAATAGTGTCGAGT